GTCTCCTTCCTTATATGCCCTCATGCCCCTTAAGATCTGCGGGAGAAGCCCTGCTCCGGGAACCCTCACTAAGAAAGGTAAAAAGCTCATCAACTCGGAGTAGGGCCTTCTCTGCTGTGGCGCCCAGACTCTGGAATGCTCTCCCCAGAGAGGTACGCTTGGCGCCAAGCTTATACTCTTTTCGGTGCCAGGCCAAAACCTTTTTATTTAAACAGTATTTTAAACTCTAATAGTTTTACAGTTCAGTCGCTCTGTTTGATCTGTGATTTATCGTTTTGTTCTGTTTTATTAGTTATCGCCATTGTTGTTTGAATTGTCTTTTTAAATATTGTAAGCCGTCCTGAGATCTTGTGTAATAGGACGGCATACGAAAGCTTTTAATAAATAAATAAATAGATTCTCCCTTTCAGGAGGGACAGCAACATGGTGTCATTTTGTCCTACAAGGTTTGCACTTCATAAGCGTGAGAAATTCCATATGGGATCAGCCAACTCCAAATTTCTGTGAATCTAACCCTGGTTGGCATCTTCCAAATCACACAGATTGCATGGACTTGGAGACCGTCTTTTTGCCTTTCTTTATTCTTTCCATAAAAGGACGTAGATGGAGCTAGGCTAATATCTAAAAGACACAAGTGAATGTACCAATATATACGCTATGAAAAAATAAGCGCATTGCTACATCTCCGATCTCTCTTCCCTGCTCCACTGTACTCTGTAAAAATGTATTAGTTTGTGTGTACGATCTGCCCATTGCTGGTATGCTGAACTAAGAGAAATACACAGAAAATATTGTGTGGCAGCAGATATTACAGGAATCACAGCTGGATTTTTTTTTTTTTTTTTTTTTGGCATACTTTATTAAAACTGGAGTAGGAAGGAATCCAAATCCATGAATGAGCAGAGGGCAGAATGGAAGACACCTGACAATCCCCAAAACACAGCGGAATGGATGTAATAACATCCATATATCCCTTTCCGAGGCAGACTGAAACGAACATCTCCTGTGGCAAATGCAGGGCCTCCTTACAAGCCAGCATGATCTCGATTTTTCAGGGGTGCAAGAGGTTTTAGATTCTGCCCCTGTGCACACATATAAGAGCTCTCTGATGTCACCAAACACATGTAATTTAGGTCAGTTTTTCTCCACTCCTCAGCCAGAGTGGCATCCATGCAATTGATCAATGAGACAAGCTCGTCCCCAAATTTATAACCTGAAGAGACATGGCACAGAAGGAAAGGAGGATGGGGAAGGAAGAGGAATAAATGAACAGCTGGGAAAGCAGCCTTGCTTCCCTCTCTTGTCAGCTTCTGTACTGCCTCTTGGTGGAGAAGGATCTTCTCTAGGTGAGGTCTTCCAGGAGGTGCCACTGCCATGCTCATCTCTTTCCATGTACACCCAACTGTGATAAATGCATAAGCTTCCCTTGTTTACCCCCACCTCCATTTCCTTCTCCTTTCTTCTGCAGTTTCCTATTTCAATTGCAAAAATCCCAAGGCAGGGATCATTCCCACTCCTCATTTTCTCTTCTCCTACATTTTCTCTAAAGCTCTGTCTTAATGTGTAGCTTTGCACACCCACTCTGCAAAATGAGGATTGATGGTTTGGAACTGATATTTGGTGCTTTTAGGTGATGGAGACTGGAAGCAATATAACCCAAATAACCACATTGAGTTGTAAATGTTTGTATATCACTGTTTGGGGGCTGCAGGGGACAAGATGCATGAAAGGACGGACGGACGGACGGATGGGCGGGAGGAAGGAAGGAAGAAAGGAAGGAAGGAAGGAAGGATGGATATATTTTCTGCAGTTTTATTTCCTTGGAGCCAGAAAGCTGAGTCCAAAAGAGGTCATCATCCCATGACGTAGGATTTCAGCATTTCAAGGAGATGGTCGGAAGACCTGAGCCAGAAGCCACAGAACTGTGGAGGACTTGGAGGCCTCTGGAGCCAAAAGAAAAGGGCTGAGATCCAGTTTGTGGGCAAAGCTGAGAGAGAGAGAGAGAGAGAGAGAGAGAGAGAGAGAGAGAGAGAGAGTTGTTTTGCTGAGGATATTGAAATTGGGTGGGAGAGATTTATTTCTGTGCATGTGGCCGTTCCCCTACACGCAAAGCCAAGCATTTCCCATGTTTGCTGGAATTTACAGGAACTTGCCAGCAGGAGGGAGAAGCAGTGTGGTCGGGACGGACCAGGAAGCGGCAGCTGGGCAGAGGTGGACTGAAATCCACACTGGGCCTTTTCCCCTGCTTGGGAACCGCAACAAGGCGGTGGGGGGGGGGGGATGGCCAGGCACAGATATAAATCACCCCACAAACACCCCCTTCAAGCACGGACTTTCATCCTGTTCTCATGACTGCTAACAATCCCTCATGACCTTGTGGCAGACTACAAATCCTATCAGCTCCAACCAGTATGGCTGATGGTCAGGAAAGACTGAAGGCACCAAGACACCTTCTGAGCATCAGGTCACCCACTGCTGTTTGCATTTGCCCTGCACAAAACTCCAGCCATCCGTCCTTTCCTCTTTATGCCATTAGGGAAAATTCCAGTGCCAATTCCCATTGCTTGGCTTCTTTCGCATTCCTCGCTCTGGCCTGCAGGCTCAGCTCTTGAACCCTTTCTGAAAATGTAGGAGCTTCCCGTGTCTGTTATGCAAGCAGCCCTCCTCCCTAACCAAAGGTGCAGCTTTACATCCATCCTGTGTTTTTCCACCACTTCTTCTGTCTTTTTAAAGTCCTTCCAGCTTTGAGAGTCTCTGAGTCTATGCTGGATAAAAGTGATTTTGCCCAAACAGAACTGCTTCCACTAAGAAAAAATACAGCATCAGTTGTACTATCATCTTTCTTTCAAAAGAAGCACAAAGTCTTCTCCAGAAATGTGCCTTTTCTGGTTTCAGTAATGGGAAGGGAAAAGATTTAGCTCTTGGGGTTCTCCGGAATTTCCCAACCCAACTTGGAGATGCAAAACTGAAACTTGGAACTTTCCACGTGCAAAACACATTTCTCTGCCAGGAGCCAGGGCCTATCCCTGGATATATTTTAGAGATGAATGCTACAGTCCTATGCACACTTACCCATTGAACTCAATGGACCTCATTTCTGCATGCAAGAGTAGTGCTCGCTATAAGGCTTGGCTTGCCCTACTGAAGACCACTCCACAAAAGCCCCCCAACCATCGCAAGCAGCAGCCACCCCAGAAGGATGTAAAGAGGAAGATGAGAGGGGGAAGCAAGGTCAGTCCATTAATTCTGCTGAAAGACAGCTTCATTTTTCCTCTTCCCTCCTCATCCCTCTTTCCTTGCATGTCATGTCCTTTTAGATCATAAATAGTGTTGCTTTACTGACTGTAAGCCATCCCACAGCCTTTTTGGCTAGTCGTCCATAAGACTATTCAACAAACCTTGCTATCATCAGGCATACTCTGACATGCACGAGATTGTGCTCGGGGCTACAAAACAGCGTGATTTTTTAAAATTCATTTATTCTAGTGAGTTTTTAGATTGGATGATTGACCAAGCGAAAGAAACGGGTCCTCTTAGAAACATAGAAATAGAGCAAGTCAGAGGGGGTCTCCCGGGCCATCTAGTCTGACCTCCAGCACCAGATGGCTCCGCCCACGACATGCCCACCATGTGCATGTCCAGCCTATCCTTGAACACTCTTGTATGCATATAGCCTGGAAGGGGAAGTTGATTTCCCACTTTGGCCACAGAAGAAGCAAACCTTGTCTGGCAAAATATTTTATTGAATATAGGTTTTTGTTTCATAACGAAATTCAAAAAAGGAGGGCTTAAAAAATCATAAAGGGCATTTAGTGACTAATATACAAAGAGAGTCTCGGCTGTTTGTTTATAGCAAGAAGAAAAGATTGTCTGTAATGTATCTTAAAAGGACCTAATGTTATGATGATTCCTAGGAGGAACAATAGTGAGCTATTTTGGCAGGATTTCCTGGCAAGCCCCGCTTCAACCTGCAAAGGTGATGCGTGGCTTTTGGGAGTCTCAGGCAGGTCCAGCTGGCAATGCAGTGAGCTTCAAAAAGAGGGGAGAGGATCTGTGAGCTGTTTTTTGCCTGAGCAAAGACATGCTCTTAAGATGCTTTGAAAACCGACATTGGAAAGCAGAGTCTGGAAGAACCTCATGCAGAGCACCCCCCCCCCGCCACACACACACACACACACACACATGCACAAGCACATATAAAAAATAGCATATGCACAAAAGGAAACTTTGCTTAGCAACAAATGCTCTTTTAAAAAGGCAGTGGGAAGCACGAATTATTCAAAGCCCTTGTGACCATTTCCCCTCCCAGAAAACCTCCACAGCCAGTTGCCCCAATGAGCAGAGCCTAAAGAAAGGAGCGCATTTGGAGTCTCCAGAGGCCATCCAGTCGGTCTACTTGTAACTGCCCCAGCAACTGGATTGAATCGTTAAGGAGGTGCGCAACTGGGGCCACGGAGAACCGGGATTCGCCTGCTCAGGGTGCGCACGAGGGCTCCGTCTTGTCGGAATCAAATCGTGCGGGGCCTCCACGAGGTGATTGCCGATTCCAGCCGGATCCTCACAGCACCGTAATCCTGGGCGTGAGTCCTCTCCGGTGAGCCCACCGGGTTCCACCTGGCTTCCTCCCAGGGCATAGGACCGCAGGGAAGCCTTGACTTTGGAGGCACGATCCACAAAACACTTGACCTTGCTGCAAAGTGACTTCTGTCCCCACACAGAAATTGACTCCGAAGCGAAGGAATCGGTCGCACTTCGCAACAAGCCAGGGGTGGGTTCGAGTTCACAATCCGGATCAAGGCTCTGGCGGGAGCCTCCTGTTTTCGGGGTGGGGCTGCGAGCCAGGGGTACGCGAGCAGGTCGACCCGCGTCGGGCTTGCACGTCGGAATCCCTCTCCCAGTCGTCTTGGGGATGCGCCGGGCGCTCCTACCAGGCTCCGGGCACACCCGGAGCCTCCTCCGTCTGCCTGCCCGGGCTCCGGGACCGCCAGACGTCGCGGGAGCTACTGGAAGTGGAACACGGTCTCGGGGAAGCGGAGTGGCAGGTAGGACAGGAAGGGGATCCCCAGCTGGTAAAAGCGCCCCTGGATGTGGGAATCCAGCACCAGCGAGGCGTTGAAGAGCGGGCGGCTCTCTGCGCAGGCGAAGCCGCAACCGCTGGCGCGGCCGTCCAGTTTGGAGGCGCCCTTCGGGTCGCCCTTGCCGTGCCTGCCGTGCAGCGCCTTCTTGGCCAGGATGCTGTCGAT